GAAAAGGATTCTGAATATGTATTAATATCTATGTCAAGAATATTAATACTTGTAGGTTCAAACATCAATAATTAAAACCTTAAATATTGAAATAATAATTCTTAATCGAAAAGATAATTATTAATAAGACTACTGTCATTTGGTTTGGTAAAGTAATTTGTTTGGTTTGTGGAGCAGAGAGAGAGAGAGAGAGAGTAAGCAGGGAAGGTTAAAGAAGTACACGGTTATCCCGTGTGAATTCTGGTCCTTAGAGGCTAATGCATACGTTCACTTTACTAAACGTGCATCTCAGAATCGTAGCAACAAATTTACCTTATGACAGAGTACCGTTCTATAAGTAGTAAATAGGATAAGGTGGTGTACACTTGTCACAATGAATCGAATATGCAAAATCACTGTCAGTTGGTGTAGTAAAGTATTCGCAACTATTGGAAAATGCAAGGTAATAAAAGCGTAAAAGAATAGAGAGATAGGTGTTCATCCGGCTAGGCCGGGTTCTCTGGTCCTTGTCTTAATAGGCTAATGCGACGTTCACTTTACTAAACGTGCATCTCAGAGATGACTTGCGAATGTACCTTCTGACAGGATATAATTTCTAATGTGTACTGAGGAATTAGCGTTATCCAATTCGCTAATTGGCGGTAGGATACAGGATTACATACATATATAGGTAAGCAGTAATACAATAAAATACATGAATATATTTATATTGCAAGTACAATAGGTTAAATAAGTATGCGATATTGGTTAAAAATAGCGAATAGTATTGGATAAAATATAATATAAGTCAACGATTGTAATGCTGACGTGTGCAGATGCAATAAGTAAATTGAAATAAAATTAGGAATTCAGAGTAATATATGGCCTATGTCTATACTCAAAATTCAGAGTTCGGAGTGTAATATAAGATTGAATTAAAATTAGTTGATTAAATAAAATGATTAAATATAATGAGTGTCCGCGCTTTACTATTTAGGGATATGTGAACTGGCTTAAATACTCACAAGGTTAGACTATGTCTAATGTGCCTTGCTATGGTACACTTCGCTACTGTGTTCTTCCCTCTGAGTCTGAAGATCTGAGGAGCCTCGGTACTTCGGTCCGAAATGGCGGCTATGTCTCGTTGTCTTCGGAACTCCGTAGTAATAGCTGGTTGGCTGACTGCTGTTAGAAGTACTGAACTTGACTGTGCTGGCGGAACAACCGGTGTTCCGTGCTGGGTGCAGGGTTTATATACCGTAAAATGTGGCTCGCTCCTCCCATCGGGCGATGCGGCTTAGCCAATGGCAAGTGAGGTATGCCGGGGAAGTACCGGAGATAATTTATTCTTGGTAGAGATTGCGTCGGTTAAGTCCCGGAGAGATGGCTTCTCAGTAGCGATAGCGGTATTCCTTTGGTGACTCATCGCTGGGCGCTCCGACTTTCCTTATCCTATTCTCGGTAGTGATAGTGGTATGCCTTGTTGGCTATGCGCTCCGACTTATCTTATCTTCTTCTTGGTATTGATGACGGTTGACTATGCGCTCCGACTTCCTTTGTTACGTTATCGGTTTGCAGGTTGCTACTTGCTTCTGTGTTGCATCATGCATTGCATCATGCTTCTAGAATATTCTGTGAGTAAAGCCGAGTTTATAATAGTAAAGCGAGTTTCACACTTTATTGTCCAACTAATGTAATATGCTATTTTATGAGCGAGATTGCCTTATACTAAGTACTATCCTTTAGGGTATGTCGATTCCTTTTTACATAGTCATTCTTGGACAATGATACTGCTAGACAAAATTATTCGTGGACAAATTTCGTACATTGTCGACTGTCGGTAAAGTATTTTGCTACCTGACCGGTTGTATGGTATTGATGATCGATTAAGTGGGTCGTTAATTGGTATGGTAAATTCATGTCTTATTGTTAGTCGGTAAGATAGTTTTTTATTTTGCCATTAATGGCCAAGTTTCATTTGTGGTTGGTAGGTGAAGTCTCTGTTTTACCATTGGTTGATCTTATCTTGGGTAGGTAAGTTAGTAGTTCCGTCTTTAACGTCGGCGATCGGTATTGAGGGTGTTATATGTCGGTCAGTAAAGCATCGCCTAAAGAATAGTTCTACATATTGGTGACTATATGAATAGTGTACGATATTTAGGGGTGTACAATATGTAAGGTGCTTCGGGAGTTAAGATATATATATATGTATATTTATATTTGTTGTGGTACTTAAGCGCGCTTATTCTCTAATTTATTTATGTTTCCTAACGAATGATCAATCTTATTATTGTTCGTGAGAAGACATGTTTTAACCTATGAGTAATTATATGTGTGATTAAATATTCGTTAATACCGGTCTTTCATGCAGGTTAGAGATTGTCATGACTAGTAGGTTAAAGAATAAAATTTTGAAAAAGATTGAGACTTTGAAATTTGTCTGGACGTTACATAAGCAAATTGTTGTGTGCCTCGTGAAAGGCACAAGGGGTCGCGCCTAATTGGGATGAGGATCCGGGGCGTCAGGGCTTTATCGGGTTGATTTAATAAATGCACTTCACTTTTTCACTTATTAAAGAACTTTTATTCACATTACCACTTGACTTTCCTTTATTTCAACAATGATACACTTGTGCGTATATCTATTTAGCGGCACTATTTAGCTATAACTTCGCGTATCGCGCGCGACTGCGAGAAGATGTTAAGATCGCACGCAGCTAGCGAGATTGTTTTAATTAACGACGCGAGAGCGTCTTGAGAGCGACTGATTGCGACTGCGATTGCATGGGCGCGCCAAATTGGGATGAGGATCCGGGGCGTCAGGGCTTTATCGGGTTGATTTAATAAATGCACTTCACCTTTTCACTTATTAAAGAACTTTTATTCACATTACCACTTGACTTTCCTTTATTTCAACAATGATACACTTGTGCGTATATCTATTTAGCGGCACTATTTAGCTATAACTTCGCGTATCGCGCGCGACTGCGAGAAGATGTTAAGATCGCACGCAGCTAGCGAGATCGTTTTAATTAACGACGCGAGAACGTCTTGAGAGCGACTGATTGCGACTGCGACTGCATGGGCGCGTCTCTTGCTCCCTTTTTATAATATCGCTTTTTGGAATTTCCTTGATCGGAAGGGGTGCCTAGCAACGGGCCTCCTCGGTCAAGGACCTAGATGCAAGCGAAGCAGATTCAAAGTCCTTCTGCTTTGCTTGCACGTTGAGCAATTTCGGTTCCGCGTATATCTCGCAGCGTATGCGTTTTTACGCGGTCAGTGTCCGTCGTCAAGCGGATGTAATACGAGTAGTTTTACATTAATAGTTATATCTCTTAGGGATATAACATCTCTCCCCCGTTAAAGAAAAAAAACGAAGGTACGTAGTTTTTCGCTTACAATTAAATTTTACAATTAAATTTTACAATTAAAGTTTACAAATGTTTTATGCCCGTTTACAATATAATTACAATCGTTTCCTATCTTCTAAAAACGTGTGCTATTGCTTCTTTTCAGTATGGATCAAGGTACATTCCAGTCATCGTCAAGTATCGTTACTCTCGGTCTTCTTTTTGTGTCTTTTTTATTTTTTATTTTCCAAATTACAATGACAATAATACATATTATGATTATGGTTATTATTAAATCGCTCGAGGTCATGGGGTAAATAAATTGTCTCTTTGTATAAAATTTCTGTTCGTTGTCTCGTAAATTGTTGTCTATGTCGTTTATCTTTGTTCGTAACTCTATTAGTTCTATGTTGTGTTGTGTCAGGTTATCCAATGTGTAGAGTACTCTCATGTCCTCGTCTTGTGATGGTGCAATGTTGAAATTTGGTAAATATGTGTCTATGTTTGCTACGTAGATCGTCTCTTTTATCTCTAATGTCATGTCCTCTGTTTTAATTTGGCAGTTTCCTCGTAAGGTCAGTCGGCCTGTATTTTTTATAATTACATTTTTTTCTGTGTGTTATATCCCCCGAAGATATAGATATAACTATTAAAAGGTAACTAGTATTAAGAAATGAGTACTCGTATTACATCCGCAATTACGACAGATAATGACCGCGTTAAAAACGCATACAATGCGAGATATACGCGGAACAGAAATTGGTCAACGTGCAAGCAAAGCAGAAGGACTTTGAATCTGCTTCGCTTGCACCTAGATTCTCGACCGGGGAAACCTGTTGCCAGGCACCCCTTCCGATCGGGAAAACTCCAAAAAAACAACATTATAAAAAGAGAGTAGAGACGCGCCAACTCGTTCAGTCGCAGACACAAACAATCGCTCTAAACACGATCTCGCTAACCGCGCGCGCACTTAGCATCGACCCGCAGTTGTGCGCGATACGCGGAGTGATAGAAAGTCAGTGCCACACACCCGGTAAAGCTTCAGTGTAGTATTGGTGAAATAAATAAAGGCCAAGTGGTTGAATTTGAATAAAGATTTTTAATAAGAAAAGTGCAGTGCATTTTCTTCAAACACCCGAACAAGTCCTGACGCCCCGGATTCCCATCCCAATTTGGCGTGACCCCCTGGTGTCTCTCCCGAGGCACACAACAATCGTTTCGAGAGCGATTATCGTAACTTCTAGTTTACCGCTATATTCAAAGTCACATTCCTTACATGTTCTACTATTAGATTTTCGGAATTTGCGTGCAGCCGTTCTCCGCGAGTGTGTTAAAGATTTCAATTTTTCTACTCGGCGAGAGAATCGTGCGAGAGAGTCACGAAAATGCCGTTATCTCTTTGTTACCTTTTTTTTGTATATCGTGCCGTGTCTCGAATTATATTTACGTGACTTCTGTATATACCGCGTGTCCGCGATAATAAGTTAGAACAGCATACCGTTTACCGATTTTCCGTTGTAAATTCCGTTCGTATAATATTGTTGCGAAATTGTTTAAAATATGTAATATTGTTATAATTAATGAAAAGCTAAGAGATTAATTCCGTCATACCGCTATACTCGTATATATCTTGATATTATATTCTTTCATTCCGTTAGCCTCTATGTTAATGTTTGTTAAATAATTATATTGTCAACCTATACTTATTACATGTAAAATTGTTAGTCCTAAGTGTTCAAAATATATATATGTCTATTAGTATCACCACATGTATGTCTCTCTGGCCTTGTTTACACCGTATGGACTTTTAGTACAGATTAAGCTAGTGCGCATCAAACGTTTGATTAAAGTGCGTTTACATCGCACAACGTATGTTTGTAGTGAAATGTCAGAAGTCAGAACCACGAGCTTCGTGATCAGTGATCACCGGAACGCGAACATTCATTTGTACGTTATAAAAATTAAAAATGAATGTAGAAAATAATATTGGAATTTTATTTTCCACTCTGTTCGACTTTTAAAAATCCTTCAAGATAATCGGAAGAAACATATACGGCAATTACTTATATATTCGTAAACGATATGAATTAAAAATAAAGTTACAGAGGTTATGTTTACAACAAAGAAATGAGTTATTAATGAAGTGGTTACAAATTAATAATTCTATATCAATACCACTAACAATGGAAGGTATAAGATATCAAAGAATGTGGCAATTAGAGAGAAGTTCCGATTTTTGGAAAAGAATTTTGAATATTCATTATATTCCAAAAGAATGGTTGGAAAGTTTTCGCATGACAAAATTCAGCTTTTCTGAATTATGTAATAAACTCAGAAATGAATTAGAACCAAAACCACAATATCTGAAACCTAGAGAACCTTTATCTGTTGAAAAACAAATAGCTGTGGCTTTATATAAATTAGCTAGCACTGCAGAATATAGAGTTATTGGCAATACAATGGGTATCCATAAATCAACTGTTAAAAAGTGTGTATATAAAGTAGTTAAAGCTATTAATCAAATTATGCTTCAAAATTATATATACATGCCTCATGAAAAGGAGGCTAAATTTATAGCTCAAAATTTTGAAGAGAAATGTGGTATTCCACAAATTATTGGCAGCATTGATGGGACTCACATTGAAATTATTCCACCAAGTGAAGGATGTAAAGATTTTGTTAATAGAAAAGGATGGCCTTCATATAATGTTTTAGCAGTAGTCGATCATAATGGAAGGTAATATTTTTTTCTTATATTTATCTTAACTTTTTTTGTCTTATTCATTGTTTCAATTGCTTTTATAGGTTTAGAAATATTGTGGCAAAACATCCGGGAAGTTGTCATGATGCTGCTGTTTTAAAAGATAGTACTCTTTATAAGAATTCTAATACAATAATACCTAAGGTAATATATGGGACGAGAGATTTTATATATATAATTTTACAAATAGAAAATAAAAAAACTCATATAATACTTTATATCATTATATAATATTACAATTTTATGTTTTTTAGGAAACTCAAAATTAATGGAATGGAAATACCCTTTATAATAGTTGGAGATCCTGCTTATCCGTTATTGCCATGGCTTTTAAAAGGATATTCTGGTTCATTATCAGCAGAGCAAGAATCTTTCAATGTATATTTAAATTCTGCTCGAGTGTCTGTCGAAATGGCTTTTGGCAGATTAAAAGCAAGATGGAGAATTTTGCATTAAATTAACTGTGACTACATATTTGCGCCAGAAATAATTGTAGCTTGTTGTATATTGCATAATTTTGTTGAAAGCAGAAAAGAAAGATTCTATTCTGAATGGTTACAAGAAGCTGAACAATTACAACTCTTAACACCGCAACCAACATGTGCAACTAATTATCAAAGAGATTCAGTACAAGGTACAGAGTTGCGAAATCATTTGAAAGAATATTTATCACAGAATTTTCCATTGAGAAAAGCATTAATACGACCATAAGAACTGTTTATTATTTAGTGTAGAATTGTGAACCCTATACAATTGCATATTACATTTTTGTAACATTATTATTATTACATTTTTGTAACATTATTATTATTTATAAAATTAAAAAATTAAATAAATTTCGTTTATATTGCTTTATTTCTCTACAGAATTCTCTAAGGTATGATTTATAAATTAATTTGCTTATAAAAATATATATATCACAATATTACTTTTTATCAGTCTTAATAAACTATACGTATATAAAAATAAACATATTCCTTACAGCCAAACAAATTTTTTAAAACTATAAGTAAATAATCATATTTTGGCGAGTTACATTATAAAATTTGTATCTTTACAAAATATCAAAAGAAAAGAGCTTATACTATATTGCAGTCATCGAAAAATAAAAAAAAATAACTTCTACTTTGATGAAAAGTAATATGTAATACGGTGTATCGATACACCGTATTACATTATGTTTCTGGTAAATTTTCTTTACCAATAGTTTCAGTTGTTTTGATAGTTTCAGTGATTTTCTTCAAAATGTTCCCTGAAGGATCTGCTTGTGCCATCTAAAATCGTAAAAAATGTCTCATTCCTCTTTGTATAAAAATGTCTATTAATTAGTAAATATTATTTAAAACTTACAGGAATCAGTTTTAAGGGTGTATAATTATGTGTTAATGTAACTGGCATTTGTGGTTTTAGAGAATTAATACTCTGTGAGAAGGTTCGCATAAGAATATTCATTTGTTCTCGTTGAAACTTTCGTTCTTTTTCCATTTCTTGTTTTTCCCAATCTCGTTGTTTTTTCATTTCTTCTTGAATGAATATCTTTTGCATTTTTTCTTGTCGTTCCAACATTGTATTTAACATTAACTTCTGTGATTCTAACCACTTATCTGTATAATTTTCTAAAGTTGCCTTATAACTTTTTCTTCCTGTATAATAAAAGTATAAATTATTAATAAATAATAAAATTTATTTATTTCTTCAACTATACTATACTAAACTAAAAATGATATTTTATAGTTTTTACCGTTACATTGTCGTCTTTTCTTCTTAGGCATTTCATTAGTGTCTCCTTCTTTTTCTTCTTCCACTATATTGCAGTTATTAATTGCTTCGTTATCAATATCTCCAGTCTCGCTGTCTTCTACAAAATGTATAGATTTTTATGTTTTATTATAAGATTCAAGTATGAGTGAGTTCTTTTTCTAATTTCATTTAATATCAATTTTTTAATTAAACAAAAGTTTTTTTTTAGAAAAAACATTCTTAAATATTAATAATATTTTTGCAAACTTACCATTAACTATAGAAGCTGTATCATTAACTGTAGAAGCTGTATCAATTCCGGAATTGCTTGAACTGGCTTCTGCAGTTGGTCTACAACCATATAATAATTCTAACTCATTATAAAAGGCACAACGTGATGTTGCAGCTCCACTGACATTATTGTCTCTTCGACATTTAAAATATGCAAGCTTCAAATTTTTTAATTTTAATTTATTTGGTCTGCTGTTTTCCCATAACTACTCTTTTCTATTTCTGGTTCAAGCATTTTAAATATTTCAACGTGTTTATGTTTCCTTCCATCCATGATGGCTAAAATTTGTTTTTCTATACACAATTCCAGAAAACATCTTGTTTCTTGTTCTGACCAATTTGGACCTTTTTTACACGACATATTTTTTTAAGAATTAGATTAAGAGAATTAGATTAAAGCAGCGAGTCGATATTTTACTACCAACATACAAAGATTTTCAGTATTGGCAACGATTTTTGAAACGCAGCCTTAATATTCTAGCGTTTACAGCGGTATGTTTGTATTTAATATGCGTACTATTTTGGTACGATACGCCATCACGAAACGTATCGTACCAGCTTAATACGCTATAGTTTACACCATCGTACTAAGCTATTTTGGTACGAATATAGTACTTGATACGCGTACCAAGTGCTCGGTGTAAACAAGGCCTCTATCTACTTCTCTCTCAACCATAGATCAAACATCCTATAGACCCGCGACTCACTATCAAATTTTGAGAAGTTACCTTAAGTACCGTTTTCAGTAATATCGTGGCGCATTTACATGCGCCTGGCGCCCAACTTTACCGCGAGTTAGTACTGAAGTACAAGTAATTAACTCTTTTGTTACCGATCTTTGACGTTTTGCTATCAGAATTATTAGAATATTTAAATTGAACGCTCCCCTGTCCGAACTTGGCGTTTGGAGCAGGAAAAGACGTTGCAATATAAACAAAGAACGTCAAAAGTATAAGCGTCCAAAACTAGAGTAGCAATATCGTGACTGCAATGTCTTTTAAAAATATTCATAAAGTGTACGTAACCCGTAAAACATCTATCGCATAGTAAAATTGAACGTATATCCATAGCTATTTCTCGATTACAAGTTTGATAATTAACGGGGAACAATTGTCTGTACACGATCCCGTGATTATCTACCGATGTATAACCTTCAGGTTTTGTGCGATCGTAACATTCAATGCAATTTTGTCATCTTTTCTTCCGACTTGATATCCTGCAATGCGTATACATTTTACTTGATATAAATCAGGAAAAGTTTTAACAAAAGGTGAGGTTTATACTTAAATTTTTTAATTAAACACATTATATGGTTAGAAGTAACTTAGTAACGCGTATGTAAGAATTATCTGCTATCTTAAGCAAGAGTTTTGAAACTAAAAATAGAATAAGATAATAATATGGAATTATTCATGATAATGAAAAGGTTCGTGGTAATAAAAAAATAGTAATAAAAAAAAATAAAAAGCAATATATATATGTATAAAAAAAAAGAAAATATCAGGTAGGCAACAGCTTTTAGGTGCTGGTATAAAGGAAGGCTGCTGATAAAAAAAAGTCTGTTGTCCACTTTCAAATGGGTTCGGCCCTTAGAGCAGCTGCTGGATACAGGAGATGAAATTTTGTTTAAGCAGATAACTGCCTTAGGGTTCGGTGTGTTACGTCTCGTTCGCAGTCGCGGCGTGTTATGATTTGCTCTCCCCCTCGAGACCACCTCTCTTGACTTTGCTCTGTCGGAGCTGGCTTCTTCGGCATCTTCCTGCCTCCCTCGTTGCTCTTCGCCCGCTGGTCCCTGCTTGCCTTGCGCTCCTCCTTTCTTCGCCGAATGTGGCATACTGGCAAGCCTGACCCGTATCTGTGGTCTGGTTTATGACCGTGATCCTTGCAATACGGGCCAGCAAGGCTTCTCCACAGACTCGCCTGCTTGTGGCCACTTTGCCCGCAGCGATAGCAGAGTC